TATATATATATATATATATAATATAGTGTAAATTTGCAATTCAAATAGCCTTCTCTTGATAGGATTGTAAATTTTCCTATATATATATATATATATATATCCCTTTGATGAGAATCAGAAACCAAGGAATTCTCTACGTTATGGTATGAGTGTCAAAGTCTACCCCTCTTCAGACTCAACACTGTGGGACAATATGTGCCTGTCTAGCCCCTTTCGACACTATGGGAAAATCTATGCCCGTCTAGCCTCCGTTGGAGTGGCGCGTTGAACTCCCACATTGGCTAGATTTGGACCATTTCTTCTCGATATATGTTAGAATCTCTCTTCTCTTCTGAACTTGCTATTTTGGAGAGTAATCTGATGAGGTTCTAATAAAACCAATAATTTTAACTTATAGAATGTAGCTACTGATTCTTCAAGAAATTTCAAGTCTTTTACATCTTGGAAGTTAAAAGGATGAATCCTGAATTAGAACTTATGTAATTATGTTTAAGCTTTCTAATGAGGTTTATTCCTTTATGAATTGCTACACCTATTTATAGACAATTTTAAGGTTCGGGGAGCACGACATAACTCAAAGCTAGGCAGCAAACACAGCTCCACTCCTCAGGTAAGTATTCACTACAACAAAACTGGCTTTATCGGACGTCATATATATCTAAATATCTTAACAAGATGCTTTTAAAGACTTAAGTTTATAGTAGAAATAATTGTGTGTCGGTGTGTCCTATATAAAGGTGTCATAGTAGGATGTTGGAACGTAATTAGGCATCCTAACAGCTTTTTAGGACCCTTCAAATAAAGTGTCCTATTAGCTTTTTTATTGGACCTCTTGAGGAGTGACTTGTGAACACATCTTTATAAGACAATTTTCCAATAATGTCATATAAAAAGACTAATAGGTTTGTTTTAAAACTGTCCTAACAAGCTTGTTAGAACGCCTAAAACGTCTTATCAAATTTATGAACACATCTTTATAAGACAATTTTCCAATAATGTCCTATAAAAAGATTAATAGTCTCAAAACTGTCCTAAAAAGCTTGTTAACATGCCCAAAAACATCTTATCAAACGCAAGTCCTATAACGTACTCTATTAGGACATTTAGATATATTTGAAGTCTGATTACCATCAATCTTTTGATGCAGTTTATACAACTATGTTATCTTCGACATCTTGTCTAAGTAAATCGTATGTATATTATCTAGCAGGAAGAGAAGAAGGTTTATAAACGGCCATCTGGACCAAACCCAGTGGGGAACTTTCGTCCGCCTTCAAGGAGATGAATAGATGGTGCAGTTCCTCTATGAAACAAGTAGAAACGGAAGATGACTATTGAAGTTTTAGATCTATGGTGAGTTAGAAGAATGGAGGGCATTCTGTCTGTATAAAAATGATGAATTTCTATGGAGCCATTGTATTTCCTTGAGTCTGTAAAATATGGATAAAATACCATTGTTCGGTTGAGTTGTTGCCTCTACTGTGTAATAGCATCTAGGCAGTTTCTCATGGTTCTAATCAATAACACAAGGTATCTATCTGTCTATAGGAACTTTCTAGAAAGTTCTAGATGAGATGGTTATGGTATTTACCTACGGCAATTTCTAATAAACTTGAGAATAAATGAGGATGATGGATTGGCTATATGAACAATGTGATTATGTCATTCTTAATATCTGAAATGGCAAAATATATCAAAATGCAACAAAGTTTGCGTTAGTTCTTATTTAGTATTACAAACAATTCTTTTTCTCTATCAATGTAACAATGTTCCAAAAATTTATGTTTAATGTAACAAAATTTCAAAAAGTTTGTATTTTTCCCATTTTGATCAGTAATCTATAACATTTGATGACATGCAGGTCAAGTTTATCCTCCACTTAGCTGTAACCCTCTCATAAATGGTTATCCACGTCAATTAAATGTTACAAAACAGGAAATTTTGATACTCTGTTACATTGGTTGAGAAAAAAATTCTTCGATACATTAAATAGGAACTAAACTAAACTTTGTTGCATTTCGCCCTATCTTACAGCGCTTTTGTGTCTATGATTCCTAAGAAACTGGTGATTGATATATATGATTTGATCAAAAGCAAGTTAATTGCTAGCAAATCTCAATTCAAACTACTTCTGAATCGCTTGAAGTGGTGTGTAGCTAGTGATGAACAGAGTTGAGTTCATATGATAGGAAAATGCAAATGCAGACTTTTGCAGTCTAAGAGACATATGATTGATGCTAGTAAATAATGTAAATCAGCAAGTGAAAAATAACAGCTATATATTAACTAAAATATGGATTTAAGATAATACAGGGTCCAAAAATAGAGCTACACATGTATTTTATATATCATACCGAACGCTTTTTCTTTGATCTCTTACTCCTCCTTGGTCCAGAAAGTTCTGGAACTGGTTTGGCGGTGCTAGAAGCATAAGCCTCTTCCAAAACCTCCTGAATTTGTGAATCTAAAATCATTTCTTGAATATATATAGATAAAAAAGCATAACAGAGAGCTTCCTTAAGCTCAACATCTGGCATATTATATAGATCATCTATAGCATGCTGAACTTGCATGAACACTTAAAAATTTGTAATGGGTTCCTTGTGCTGAATAAAAGATTAAGATATTGTTAAAAAAATTAACAGCAGCTATGAATAGGTTATGATCACCACCACATGGACATCCTAAATTTCCCAGAAACAAAAGTGGAATGTGAATTCTCTCTTCTTCATTTCATAATAATCTCTTTACCTATATCAGCATTTAACATCAATAGATAACTATGTGTCTATGTCCCTAACTGGTGATATTGGAAATTTGAAACGGTATATTCTATTAAATTATACTACCCGTTTTATTTTGAAATGTTGCTTCTCACCAGTGAACAATAGTGTCAAATGTAGGACTTGGTCATATACAAACTTCACTGCTGTCTCCTGGATTCTTATTGGCATGCTAATCTAGGCCTAAGGTATTCTAGGTAAATTTTGCAGCATATCCCGAAAAGTGATTGGGTCCATTACATCGAACACCCTACACTGACAGAAACATAATCATATAAATCTTGTTAACCCTATGTGTATTATCTTTCTTTATATAGAGATGGTGAGAGAGTCTGATGATGATAACAATAACGATGTACATATGGGTCTGATATATGATGGGTCTCATATGCAGTAACCATTTACTTGAACCATGTGGACAAAAAGAAAATGAAGTATCAGGAGTTACCGTGGACTTTGTGTTGTCATCTGTCTCATCTTCAGAATCAGATGTAGATGCCAAAACCTGAACATCTGGGTCAGGCAGTGCCTTACTTGATCTTTTCTTCTCTTCTTCCTTTAGCTGCTTAAACCTGTTCATATTTCAATCCCTTTTGTCAGCAAAATACTTTTGACTAGATAGTGTCAAACCATGAAATATATATATATATATATATATATATATATATATATATATAGACTAACCTAGCACCAGATTCTGATGGTTGAGAAGATAAGAGTGTCAAACCGTGAAAATATATACATAGATAGACTAACCTAGCACCAGATTCTGATGGTTGAGAAGATGATCGTTTTGCACGACCAGCACTTATTATTCCACTTGCATTCTCGCTGACAACAGGCTTCGCACCTCCCAACTTCCTTAACCATATTTGCTGGGCAGTGCTGAGCACATTGTTTGTGAACCTAATGATACCATCCCATTACCATTATGAATTAGTAAAGTTGATGAGGGAGAGGTAATTAGATTCAAACTATTTACCTTCGTTTGATAATAACATTAACATAACTCAACAGCAATAGCAACAAGGATAAGGTATTAACATTATGATATACTTCTGTAAACAACCTATAATGTGTTCATCTCATAGCACATTGAGAAATATTAATCATAGTCTCCTTTACAGAATACCGGTTCATGTGATAAAAGTTATTGAGATAAAGAAGAAGGGTTACTGAACACGTATGAAGACATTCTGCAAGACAATTGTGACTTCACTTAATTGAGCAAATGATAGGAAGATTAATTCAGTGGTTCTAACATAATAGCAGGGGGATATTAACAACAGAAAACAAGCAATAAATGAGTGTTTGAAGCATGTCAATCAATTTCTCTGCCATAGCAAGAATACTCTGCAGGATGACAAGAGTTGGCCTAGTTGTAATACAGCAATAAGGTACTACCTGAGTTTATAAAATAAGCAACTTATAAACATGTGTCCGATATTATACCATATCACTATGTATTTTACTTTTGGATTATATCAGAGTCTTCTTCAGTCCATTGGCCCACTTTCAGCATTATTTATTATCCCTTTCTTGTTACTGGAAATTGTATGCTTTCCAAGTCTGACTTCTCAAATTGAAAGAAGCTCTTATTGCTGACAGTATCATATCATGTTTTTGTAGCATACTTGATTCACATCATATATCTTGCTCGTATGAACTTCCTGGCAAAATATATCATGACCTCAGATAATATGTATCACTCTCTCTTACTGCTAAAGTTTATAGCGTGATATGAATATTATATGAATGAGTAGCCAAAATAACGAAATCAGATACAGAACAAATGACAGTCTTGTCATCAAAGAGTATTTCCACTACAAATAAATGGGAGAAACTTTACTTCTTAAGTTGAATCTATTAAGTTATATCACTGATTTCTATTGGTTATGTTGCAAGGTGGTACTATTAGACTTTCTAACCTGGAACTATCAAGGCAGATAACACTGCATTTGATATGGGATTCTTATATCATAGTACCAATATAACAAGTTATGCCCTTAAAGATTAAAAATAACAATAATCATTTTTGTTTGTGCGAACAAGTGAAAACTGCATTGTGGTCTAATATTAGCTGGTGTAACTGCTCTCTGCTCAAAGTTTTGACTCATGAACAAGAAAAGAGGTCAGAGGAAATGAAAGTTGTGTCAATACTATTGATCAATAAGATTTATATTTAGGAATTACCAGTAAATTGATAACCCCGATGGGACGGACAACGAAAAGTAGCCAATCATGAGTGGGAGGAACTTGAAGACAAGAAGAGTGTTTTTCTGAGTAGGATCATCAGTCTGCCAAAACAAAACAATTTGAGAGCATCAAAGATAATGACAGTTCAAATATATGAACTGGAACAGGACATAGAGACACATGCATATGAATTATAAAGGTATGTTCTCACTTGGGGTGGCTTCATGATCTCCATTGATACATACTGAGAAAGAACAAGAAGCACAGGTAAAACAAGGTAGGCAGCCGTGTCATACCAACCCAGTGGCGGATGGCCATCCTGCAATAAAATATAGCATAAATAAGCACTCCTTGCTATGGGAAAGAAATATACCACTTCATGCAACATCAATAACAGTTGCATTTAAATGATCTCCGTTAACATCGAAAGTTAATCTTAGGTGAATAATTGGAGTACAACTTTCGTGCTCACAGCACGGTGACCACTGACTGGTATAAGCAGAAAGGGGTCTGAAGCACTCACTACACTCTTCACAAATTTTATTCTTGTATATGCTATAGTAATTATTAGGAGGATACACAACCCTCCCTTTAAATTAAGACAGATTTGTGTTATCTACATTTTAGTCTGCTTCAAGTTTTATGATCAAAAGAACAATTTAAATATAACAACATATCCTAAATTTAGTGACTATGTAATTTACCTTATTTGTATTTGTTTAGTAAACTTAAACAAACTCTCGTACTTGTGAATCCAAATTGACTCATTAATCAAGAAATCAAAGTCAGCTCTGCTTTAGAAAGGGATAGTGTTGATAGGACTCACACTGTTCCAAAAGGAAGATGCAAATTGACTTCTACGACAAACCGACCAAGTCTCAACTATAGCATTGATGAAATTCATTTACCTTCCGAGACAAAAAGTGATAACATTAAATCTTGTAATGAATAAAAAATAATATTTGGTGCTAAGCTCTAACAAAGTCCATTTCAGTTTTCAAATTGATGTAATATATATTAGCACAGAACTCAAATCTGGATGTGCAATTATTAGATCAAGGAGGTTGTCCTGAGTAAAGTGTTGGTGTTAATGTTAATGAATTATTGCCTCCAGTCACACAAGCTCCATGCGTCACCGCTGCTATGATGTACATACATTTATTTGATTAGTATGCAAGAGTCTAAGAGTTAGCCGTCAACTATGCCTCTTGCTCAGATTCAACTGCCTAAATTTGTGCCAAAGCTAACTATGATAACCACAGTGCAATCATAAAATAAACGGTCCAAAGAGGGTGTCAGATTCCCCCTCTCATTCGAACCCACACCCCCATGCCCAATGCAGGGTTAAAAAAAGAGATGCTTCAAAGTTTCTCACAAGCACAGATGCTATCATGATGAACGTACGAAGAAACTACAATTTCCTCAAGGCATGGGCAGGAAAGATGGTGAAGTATCAAAAAGAGCAAGAACTTTCCACTTCAAGCAACTTTCCAGAGGTATGGGCTCCATGGAGAAGTTTGGAACCTCCACTTCCAGTCATAGCTCAGCTTCCAAATAAATCGTGTGTGATTAATATAACACTCTGCATTTGCATCTTCCACTTTCCTTCCAACCACTCTTCCTTCCTCCAAAAAGCAACAAGGATGTACTTGTAGAGGAGATAGTAATTCTTCCTTTCACATGGTTTAACTTTTGATACACTGACAATACATATGCAGGAAAAACCAACCAGAAGAAAATAAAGGAGTGGCCGAGTGGGGGTACAGGGAGAGGGGGGGGGGGGAGATAGAGAGACAAATGTCATATTCAAGTTATGATGCACTAGGAGTACTTATTACCACAAATGGAATGAGCCAAGAAACTCCCGCTCCACTTTGCCGAGCAGCAATTGTTGTCGGCCCTCCCAAAGAGGGAATCCAGAAAAATCCCTCCGTCAGCAATCCCTTGAGAATTATTTGCAACAAAAAAAGCAATTATTTCACCTCCTCTAATTAAATACTCCCTCCATCCCAATGTACACACAGTTTTTGATTTAATACAGTTTTAATAATGTGTTTCACTATTTGTTAAGTATACAAGTGCCTCTCAATAAGGACAAAAAAAGAGGAACCTTGTGGACCAAAATCAAGTATACCAATATTTTGAAATGATTATGAATGTGAAGTAAATATAGATTGAAAACTTACCCAAAAGGGAAATTGTTGCATTTATTTGGGACAAAGGGAGTATAAGAAACAAATTCATTACACAATCCTTTTACACACAGACAATGATGATTCAACTGTTCATACCTCGTTTGCAACATTTGAAAGAGCTTGATACAAGCCTATCCATACTGGTATTGTGGCCAAAGTAGGTAAACATCCTGCCATTACATAAAACTGATAAGATCTTTGTACGATGGAACTGATCAGGTTCAAAGTAATGCTGAAGATAAGGGACATCCTTCCTCTTGGCACCCTGAGATGTCAAGTAAACTATGAACAATACATGTATATAAAGGATTTGCTGTTGACTGATGATTGAATAACAATCTTTTTACTCCTTACTTTCCAATGAAAATTGCAAAAAATTCCTTTTGGGGATGTTCCATAAAACTGCAATGTTTCCTTGTTTGGGAAGTTTCCAAGTTATAGTTACCCATCTATGTGCCATTATCATCATTGGAGTTCACAAAAGTCCTTTATTCTGTCTTCGTGTATTTTAGATATTTGACAAAAACAAATATTTTCCTTAAACAATGCCAAATTAAATGTTGCAATTTACATGAGACAAAGGGAGTAACTTCAAATTATGTAGAATATTTGTATTTTAGAGCAAGGTGGAAAAATAAACCCATAGAAAACTTGGACAAAATGCAATCTTAGACTACGATAAGAACCTGCCAAAGGATTGACTCCTGCCTGTTTATATAAGCGTGATGTCTCGAGTTGTATTCTTTCCTGAAAGGATATCAATTTTGTCAAACATAGATAGATATACATATTTATACACACACACACACACACACATATATATATATATATACATACATACATAGAGAGAAAAGTGCATATGCAGATATACTTAATCCTATTCAGATGATTGTATCTTTGAAACTGACCTAGACATATCTTTATTAAGATTCGATTGGGTTGAAAGTTTAGACAAATGCATATGGAGATATACTTGATCCTATTTGGCTTCAACATTACTTGGTGCCACAGTTAAATGGCTAAGTTGAATTATCATGTGTTTAGTTGATGTTGGATAAAAGGAAATTACATATAGAATTGTGTTACTGTTGGTTCTTCTAGTCCTTCCTTAAGGAAGTGTTTACTCTTTCTCTACCCTTCTTACAGGCGTAACTTGATAACCATCTCTTGCATAGTTTAATCTTAGACCTAAGGAATCCTGTCTGATTTTGGTTTGGTATCACTGGCCAAGGCTAGTCCCATTTGCGGTTATATATTTATAAATTAGGTTGCTCGGTGCCTTGTGTCACTACCCCACATGACCAGTTAACATGTGGTATAAGATATCTTGCTGCTATTCATTGATGAGGACTCTTGCACAATCTCCTCAATTCCAATCCACAAAACTGTAATTTTTAAGTTACAGGTTTATCATCTCTAGTATATATCTCGTAAATGCAAAAGAATCTGGGATTCAAGTAAGCTTCTGATTAAATATTGTTTGATATAACCATCACGATCAACAGATTAGCATCCTCATTATGATGCTTAAGCCCAGATTAGTGTTCTAAAAAGCGTTGGGTGAAACTAGACAATCAACTGAATGCCTAGCATTTAATTGGTTAAGCAGGAACTATGCGGAAGCAGTCCAGTTTTAATATGTAAATTACAATCCTTCTTTCCAGCTATCACAATATGGGATGCAGGGTTGAATACTAACATTCCGTCATAAAAACTCATCATGGTAGCAAATGGGGGACCCAAATACAGTGGGTCCTAGTCCTACTCAGCCCATGTGGGACAATCCAGACTCCAGATACCATTGTTAATCTGAAAACCGAGTAATAAATTTGATAATGACTTGAAAGGGATTATATTACCTATTAAATATCTAATACCAGGACCCTTATGCGCATGATGATTAGGTTCTTATGTTAACCGGCAAGCTTCATCTGTCATCCATCAATTTCTTTGCAAGTAAACTATAGCATCTTCTGAACTGTTTGAGTTTGTTAAACTGATGATCGAAGTACTTTCTATATTCTTGTTTTCTCTGAAATCATTAGACTGCTTCTACGGATTAACAATACCTGTATGACTGGTTGCCTATTTCAAAACACTTCTGGCAAAATTCCAGATGATAACTAAATTGCAGTCTTTTTCCGCCTCTTTGCTGGATAAACTAAAGTTAAGTTTTAATTAAATTCCATTGAAGCCTAACATATCATAACGCAAGCAAGCTATGCCCAATTGCCCAATAAAGTGAGAATGCACCTAAGAGTTTTGTTATATGGTATGCTCATTTTTTCATACAAAGCGATTATATAAGCCTAACATACAAAACTGCAATTTATAATGTTGCACCTGATTTCCTGCATATCTTTGTTGAATTGCTTTGATCTTTGGCTGGAGGTTTTGCATTGCCAGAGTTGACTCAACCTTTCAGGCAAGTGAAAATTTGAAATCATCAAACGATAGTAGTAGATCATATAAACATGAATATAAGAGTGATAATAAGGTTGAAATAATTTGGAACGCTACTCGATTAGTGATAACTTCTTTATATTTAAATATTATGAAGCAGTGAGAGTTGGGTGGGCGTGTACGACTGCTAAGACCTTGAGTTTGCTGCCCAGGGGTCACTTGTTTGAGTCCTCACTCCCCACAGGGTGGTCAGTGGTCACCTGTTCGAGCCTCAACTCCCACTGGGTGGTCACGTGTTCAGACCCCAATCCCCAGAGGGCCAGGCTGTTAACTTCAGGGGCCGGCGACACCCACGGTTATCCAAAAAATTAAGGCACGTTTCGAGAGGAGGGTCACCTGTTGTTTTGTCAACGGCAAGGTTGCAACCTTAACAAGAACAGTAAGCAATATAATTGCAAATCCATAGGAATATGGCACATGAACGGTAGACAGTCCATCCTTCAGTACCTGATTAAAATAGAGCAAGTTAACATTAACATACGAATTAGATAATCAAGTCAAATTAACTACTCAGCAAACAAAACTAAATTAATATTTTATCCTATGTGATCTTGCACACAATCCGACGCCTAAACAACCAAAGTATACGGCATATAAAGAAAATGACATGTTTTAACCATGTATCTCAATCCTGCTATTATCATATATCAAGTACCAATTGAATGCATAGAATAATTATTCGAAATTTTTCACAAAACGATTGTAAGAAACTACCTTTAAAACGACTTCCATGGCATCGGATATAAAACCAAACCACCCCCCGGACTTCTGCACTGTCGAAGTAGCCGAGTCGCCCGAAGCAGAAGCAGAAGCAGCTGAGTCAACAGCAACAGCTGCATCAGCTAAAGTATACATAAGGCTCTCGGCACGGCTAGCAATTGCGGCAAAATCAACTGAGACGCCATCGAATGAAGAAATTGGAGGAAGTCCGTTAAAGCTGAATTTGACTGTGGTAGATATAAGCTTAGTCCTGGGAGAAAAGCGTCCATGGCGATTGAGAGAGGGGAAAGGTGTTCCGATGAAGGAGGAAGGAGATGAAATCAGAGATTTCGCCATAGATGGATTGTTCGAAGCTCTCTCTCTCTCTCTTTCTCTCTCTGTGCAATTCACTCACCTTCTCATATGTGTGTCTGTGTGTGAAGATGAGGGGAGAAGGGAGAGAGCGTGTGTGTTATCCGATTTTTGTGGGATGAGAGATTAAAAAATAATTTTCGAGAAATAACGTCTGTGAAGTGAGATGTTCCACAAGACCCAATAAATTACTGCCACGTCATCTTTTATTCGAATCATATCAAAATATCTCTTATGGATACTATGGAAATAGATTAATTAAAAGTTAAAATCTTTATTATTGAGTTTAATATAAGTAATATGATTCATGTGGAAAATGATTTGTGTCAACTAGTCATGGATTTTTGAGTTAATTTTACTTTTGGAGCAAATATTTATATAATCGTTGGTTAAAACATTTTTATTGCTTGTAATGACTTTTATTGAATAGTCACTTGAGGGTTGAACTTTTGGATCGGTTTTGACTCATATGAGTTTTGACGATATTTGTCCAGTTTAATTTGCTCATTTGATCTTTGAAATTGTGATATGCAATATGATTAATATATTTAAAAATTTATATGTTTTGAGTTTACGGTCATTCAATTGAGGTCATGTAATGTAGAATGTAACGCAATAGATCCATATGCATAAGAGTCGATCTTTGTTGTTTTAAAATGGGACGGTTATTCCCATGTTTGTGGGTATAAGTAAGCATTGGATCATCGAGGGCATTGTGTTGCGGGCTCTTGGAGTCGGGCATCAACTATTGACCATATGGTGTACTTTATGAGTCGGTTTGATGGTTTAAAATGGAAAAATTATTACCGTATTGTAGCTAGAAATAAGCATTGGGTCATCGGAAGAATCGTGATATAGGCTTCTAGAAGTGGCCATTGACCATACGATGTAATTTCTAGCGAACAAGCATATTTGGGATCATCGGGAGTCTAAAGCAATATATAGATCATAGGTGGTTGAACTTTATGACCATTGATCTGTAGTGGGGATCATTAACATTGATATGTGACTTACTTTTGTGTTTCGTCACATTCAGTGGAATCATCTCTCCCGACACCGAAAAGTGTTGTTTTGGGTATATAGAGTTTATCTGCGTTTTCCATATTTGGTTATTAAATTGTATCCATGTTTTTAGTGACATTTAAATATGGATTGTTACCCGTGATTCAAGGATTTGGTATTGAGCCATATCCATGTCTTTGAGTATTTTGGATAATAGAGTTTTATCCATATTTTCAGTATTTGAATATTAAACCTTATTCACGTTTTCGGTGAGTATTGGGTTGGAAAGATGTTGCTTTTATATTCAATGCATTTTGTTTTGGAAATCATGATTTAAATAACATCTTTTCAGTTTTACTATTTTATATTTAAGATGAAAGTCGATTGAACTCACTAGGCGTTAAGTCTAACTTTTTTTTATTTTTTGGCATGTGCGTCGGGTCGTCGTCGTGGAATGGTACTAGTGACATTATGAAGAGTTGAGTGCTAGTTAGAGGCACGAGAAGCAACTAGCTAATTGAGACATCTTATGTTCCTTGGAGATAGCGACAATTAATGAATTTTAGTAACATCCGTCCTTAATCTATGCTTCTCGTACATGCCCACGTCGCGAGCAATTTTTCCTTGTGCTGTTTAGGACGCTGAATAGATGGCCTTATCTTTGCTTCCTTTTGATCGACTAGCACGACCCATGCTACCCATCCAATAAATTGGGGGAATTTTCCTGCCAGGGATGGACCCATAAATTTTTTCAAACAGCGGCACCATTTGACTATAAGGAAAAAAAAATATAAAGAAAAAATTTCAAACGGTGACACCATTTGACTATAAGAAAAAAAAATGTACAATTTTTTTTAAACGATGATACAATTTGACTAAGAAAATGACATTAACAGGAACTTGGGTCTGGGGTGGAATAAAAACCTTGCAAACCAACTCTACCAAATAAAACTTGTTCTCATTGTAGTTTCAAAATACATACAGTGACACACAACAAATTAATATGGTTGCACCTTTTACGAACTTAATTTTTTTTAATCATTCGACGGAGGAATAATACGGTGACACGTGCCACCGTATTCTCTACGGTAGGTCCATCACTGTTTCCTACGGCTTAAGCCTCCCACACTTCCAAACTCCATTTTTCATTAGCTTTCAATCTTGATTTGACCGAGACAAACTGAGACCAAATATTTGCAACCAAGCATAAGTTTTCCAAAATTAAATACCGGATACAACAGAAATTCTCAAATTTCAAAAATATGATACACCTGTAAAAACACGGACGTTAACTTATTTTTAATATTACAACATTAATTTTATATTAACTGAAACATATATATTAGTTCAGTAAAGAATCATAAATACTTTAAAAATAGGAACCAAACGGTAGTGTCTGGTTGGTTTGAGCTTGACTTCAAAAGTCAAAAGTACTGGGAGGTCCCAAGTTCAAATCCAAGAAGGAATAAAAATTCTCTTGTGGCCACGGAGGTTCAAATGTGTTGACTCCGGATTATCTGCAAAGCAGGTGGTCGCCCTGAGATTAGTCGGCTCGCATAGTGGGTTGGATATCCTGGTTAATAAAAAAAACTATTTAACAAAAGTCGTTGGATTAAAATGGATTTGATGGTCAGGTCTATTAAAATATTCAATACATTTAATATCCTAACAAACTTTCAAATAATAAGAGTAATTTTAAACAAATTTTATATAAAGTTGTCATTTTCAACAATTTTATATAAAACATTAATGTTTAACAAACTTTATGTAAATTGATAATTTTTAACAACTTTTAATAATTTAATATATTTTAATAAACTTTATATAAAATTGAAATCTTCAATTAACTTTGTATAAAAAGACATTTTACATCATAAAAATTAATTTCCAAACAGTTAATAGTATATGATTTTTAAAAAATTTGTAAGAGTAATTTACAACCTTTTTATTCGATACATCTATAAGAAAATTTATTCTCACGTTAAAGGTTTGTTTTGACTTTTGATGAGAAGCAATATTTTATCGTTTCACATCATTAAATTTCAAAAGTAGTCGTGAAATTTAGTTGGAGAAGCCCAACTTTATATTGAACTAGCCCAATAGATTTAAAAACATTTTCAACAGATTCTTCAAAATGAAGAATCAAAAGTTAAAATTTTCAAAAAAAATTACATTCATCTCCAACAGATTCATACACTTTGAAGAATCCAATATTGATTATAATATTAGAATATTTCATTAAAATATTATTTCTCTCTCTAAAAAACTTATTTTTAAAGTTTCTTATTGGTGGTTTCATTTGATAATCATTTTTGGGGTGTTCTTCATATTTGGAGAAAAAACTCTTCTCTCTCCTATTTTCTCCATTTTTGAGATGGTTTCAGGGAAATTGCTGGAGCAAAACATTGGCTCAAAATTCTCATTTTCTCCCTTTTCTCAATTTTGAAGAAGCTGTTAGATGTGCTCTAAAACCGTCAAATAAAGTAGAAAACTTTGCTCAGCCCACTCATATGATGTTTGGGCTGCCAACCAGAATGTCTATTCGAAATTGTAAGTTAACCGGCCGCTCCTAGTAGTTTAAAAAAAGACATCTAAAATAGTCATATTTTGTAAAAAAAATAAATAAAAACATTTTCTACAGATTCTTTAAAAAAAGTTCAAAATGGATAATCAAATTCAAAATCTCTATAGAAAATTACATTCAACTCCAACAAATTTTTATTTTGGAGATTATAATATCGATAATATTATTAAATGTATACATTAAATAAGAGAAGGAAGATCGAGGGAGAATATGAATTAATGTGAGAAATGTAAGAAATGATTTGGACCATTGATCACTTTTGATCTCAAACAAATCAATGAATTGTGTTTTAGAAGGAATTGATCTGGTGTATCTTATTACATCTTGATCTAGTGTTTCTTTTCAATTAGGATTGATCCAATGTTGGAGATCTCTTCCTTCCATTATTAACATAAATTTCATTCTCATAGAAACCTAGCTAACACCTGCGATTTTTGGGGTTTCCATTTATGATCTATCACTGTTAGGCAAAAAGGATGGAGGTTCAATAAGGTTTTAGGTAGTAATAATGTTGAAAAGCTTAGGGTTCAAATCAGGATTGAAAACGTCGAAAACGTGCGAAATTGGGGTTAGCACGACCTAGTTCGTCGCCCGAGTCGTCTGGCTCACTGTTTGTGGGGCGAAAAAGCGGGAGACTAGCTACAAGAGGTAAGTCAAGGGCTAGGTCGCGCAAATGGTCTGGAAGTTTAAAAACTTTAATTTTTCTAGGGTTCTTCTCATTTCTTCCCCTCATCTAAGGTGATTTTAACTCCATGGAAGGCAATTTTAGAGGCTTTTTGCAATACCCGAAACCATATTTGCATAAAACCACATATTCCATTTAACACACGAAATACAAATATACACATTGGTCCCAAAATATACAAAATGCTACATACAAAAATAGTTATCCAGGGTACATGATATTTCATATGTTGGAGATAATGATCGTTTTTTAAGTTTTAGTAACGTCCATCCCTAATTATAGACTTGTGTATGGTTTTGCAATATCGTGTATTAAAGTTAAATCAGAGTGCTACTGTAGGTAAACAAGTGTTGATTTTAGAAAGGGATTTAATTCTTATTTTATGTTTAATAAAATTTTAAATTAATCGCTCTTTCCAGATTTGATGGTGTTACACCCAACCCTTTAATAAAAAAAACCTCAATGTTTCTTATGTGGGAATGTAATATAAATTGTTTCTCTTGAATGGTAATCATTTTTTAAGAGTTTTCCAATTTTGAAGAATTTCACTCTCTCATACTTTTTTTCATTTTATAGAATATGTTGAAGCAAATTTTTTTTTTGATTAACCTGGATATCCAACCCGCTATGCGAGCCGACTAATTTCAGGACGACCACCTGCTTTGTAGATAGCCCGGAGTCATCGCATTTGAACCTCCGTGGCCACAAAGAGATTTTTATTCCTCCTTGGATTTGAACCTGGGACCTCCGGGTACTTTTGACCTTTGAAGTCAAACTTAAACCAATCAGACACCACACTTATGGTTGAAGCAAAAATTTATTTAAAATCTCCATTTTCTTAATTTATGGAAGTTGTTTGAGATCCTCTAACTTATAAATTAACCATATTTAATAGAAACAATAGTTGAAAACTATATAACAATAAAAAAATCACATAAAAAATAAGTTTAAAAATTTTGAAGGATTGTTTTTATCAAAAAATGAACATATGGTAAACCAAAAAGAGTTTTTTAATGAACTCAAAAAACAAGTTAACAGGTCAACGGATCAACCAGACCCTTAAATAAACAAAAAGTTTGATAGAGATCCCTAAATGACGATTTTGAAAGTTGTTTCCCCAACATAGAAATAAGGTGAAAATTGGTTCCATTTTGGTGCAATTTTCCCTAAGTTCTATATCTATCAAACATGATGCAAATTTCAACAAGGCACTTTGATGGTTTAGTAATTTGTTCGTTTATGACGACCAAACTTGTTGGTTTAGATCGTTTGTTTCGTCGGGCATTTGTTTTTCTGCCTCATTTGTTACCCTCTCCTCTAGCACTCTCGTGTTTTTTTAATTCTATTGTCCTATCTTTCAAAAAAACCTAGAATTTTAAAAACAATTAAATCCGAATTTAATAGTATGTAAGATTAACAAATATACAAAACCAACACAAATAAATCAAGAAGAATTGCATTCAAGCATGTTTAGGGTTTACTGAAAAATTGGGTCTTAGACCAATAACAATAATTACACCATCAATTAACTGGAAAAGAAGTCATACAAAAGTTGATCTTGCGAACAATCAGATGAGCTCGAAGTACAAGTAGTCAAAGCATGAGGATTAACACTGCTCACCATTGATTCTTTCTGTTGCAAAATTCCAGTCGGGTGAAGCGGGAACAGATCCAAAGTTTCTTGTTGGTTGTAGTTTTTGGCATTGACCATCTTTGACTTGATCATCGTATTACCTTCAGCAAAGATTGGAGGACCAACAGAGAGCTTAGATTTGACCGTCCGAGATGATCTTCTCTTGATAACGTTGGAATTAGGAATAAACACCTTTGGGTACTGAGTGTAGAACCCTAGGTCACTCAATGGCAAGTAACATTGACCATATACAACTGAAAATAAGTAACAAAAAATTAAATTGAACTGATATGATATGATAAAAAGACAGTTCGTGAATTTTATATTAAAATAACTTCAAATCAAAGGAAAAAAGGTTAAAAAGAAATGATCAAAACATGAATTTCGATTTATCTTGATTTGAAATAGGGTTAAAATAGGAAAACATAATTGAATTATTATTATATAAATAATTAAAATTAAGATTGTGATATATAAAAGATTACAAAAGATATTAATGTAAGAAGCACGTATATCTAAAAGGATTTCCCTTTGTACTAAAAGGAATATTTTGAATAAATATGCAATTTTATCATATACACATATTTTTGTAACAAAATCAGATAAAAACATGCATTCAAAATGTTAACAATAATCGTTAGTTAATATCATATTAATCGTAAACTAATAATTATTTAACCTTTAACTGTTTTTATTATAAGTAAATTCAATCATTTTCATTTAATTACAAATATAAGTTTAAAAAAATGAAAATGTTGTTTTATTTTTAAATGTTTTTTACAACTAAAGATTCATATAATTAATTAGATAATAGAAACATTTAAAAAAAATATTATAATTTAAAAAAACATTTGTATTCATTCTAAACAAATAAAAAATAAGATTGCAAAAAAAAGAAACAAAAAATAAACCTATTTTAACCAAAAAAAAAAAAAGATAAAAATGATTGGTTGACAATAGAATGGCAAAAGACAAGTATTTTTTTTATTTATGATTGATTCTTTTCGTATTGTAAGAAAGCACTAACACACCAACCAGTATAAGGTAGCATTTTAAGACAACCGTATCAGATATGATCCATTTTATCTTCAGTTATTTATAAAACAAGTTATGTGAGATATGAGGTGTTTTGGTAGACCAAAATAAGTGTAAAATTAAGTGGAAAAGCTGGAAACAATGTTATCAAGGTGATTGAAAGATGATAGATTCATAGTACAACAGAAATCTTGGAAAAACATGACAATGAGTTGAGTGGGAAAGCCCATAAACAAACAAAAATCAGAAACCTTTGGATTACATTTACAGTACAAACTCACAGATGGATGGAGACAGACAAACAGACACTTCATGTTTTACAAGTACTGCTTTGTTTAAACCCATGCACTTTTGACTTCCATTTCATTTTTAAATCCATTTTCTTTTTATTTAAATCAAGTATTTAACGGTTATTTCATCAAAATGATGAGTATATGAATCATGGATACCAAAAAGATCGCATTATAATTTTGGAAATCGTGTAGAGATACGTATTAATTCGTATTAATTGGTGCTAATTAAACAAAATCAAATGGTTTTATAAGAAACCCAAGAAGCATAATATATACATTTCCTAATAAAGTATTGAAAAATGATGATTTAGTACAATTCAAAAGATTTATAAAACGCAAATTATAGATGGATTTTGTACTTTGACAGTAGACCATGTACCTATACCTAGTACTGTTACTTTGCACCTAGCACATACGATCGACATAAGACATCTCTTGATACAGAAAACACAGTAGTAATTAATGTCGATCGTTTATTCATGTACAACTAGAAATATAATAAGCATAGAGATCGAAATACGAACCATTGGGATTATGGGTCATCGGAAAGATTGCCGGCTGGTGGTGGTGGTGGTGGTGGTGGTGGAGGTATTGGTGAACGTAAGAGAGATGATCTTGTTTTTGCTTCTGCCTTTGTCTGGCTTTATGATTTTGAAACCAATAGAAGACGTTTTTGCCTTCGATATGGCCATAAGTTTGTAGCCTCGTTGTGATTTCTTGAATCTGTTCAGCTGTTGGGGTTCTCACCCCTTGTCTATACAAATTCTCCAGCATGTTTATTTGTTCTTTCGTCGGATTCCACCTACACGGCGCCGGTGTACCGGTTGTTTCCTTTCCGGCCACCGCCATTGTTGACTCCGGGCAGCTGCTATTGCCTTCCATGGCCAATCTCAGAGATAGATATATAGATAGATAGCTACAGACTGTTTTGTTTCTTTAGCTTTTAGTGTTTGCATGGGCTTTACGAAAAATACGCTTCTTTTATAAAGGAAAAGGAGAGAGAAGAGGATCATTTAGGTTTTAAGTTTACCGAAAAACAAATATACCCCCTAGACTTTTAGTTATATCATTTTACCCCCTGTGTTTTGAGTTAAAGCTATAAAGTAGCTAGATCGAATGCGTTATCCATTGTGTATTTATCGAACGAAAGTTTGGTATTATACATCTTTAATACGTCCTTATAAATTAAACCCTGTAAATTACTCTAATGGACTAAAACTTTAATTGCCCTTATGAATTAACGCAACATAGATTTGGAATTCAGGTGATTCCTTAGCTGCTTCTTTCGATTTAGGGATCGAAGTTGTATATGATGAAACCTGAGGGACTCAACTGTAGTTTACTATTTCTTAGTAATTTTCAAGACATAACTACATTAAATTGTGACAACCCTTCATTTAATTTAATCATAATATTCTACACCATCCATTCCATTTTACGAAGAGTATAACGGTTTATTCCACATGTGACATGATTACAATCGCATGATTATCAAGCTTTGATTGTTTAAACCAATATTTATTAATTAAATAATAAATAGTAAAATGAAATATCTTATAATTAAAATAATATATAATATTGTACCTCATTTTAATTAGAAAATATATATACACAATGTTTTTCCCGTGCTTTTTAAATAGAAATAAAAGTTGCATAACAAAAAAATAAATCGATAAATTTGACTTAAATTCTTGATATATCTCAAAATTAGTAGGAAATTGCATGGAGGAAGAGGGGGTGTAAGTACTTAAAGTGAAAGTATAGGGTAGTAAAGTGCATATTTTACCCTTCTAATTTTTAAAGCAATCATATAGTGGTCAAGTTGTGTATATATATAGAGTTTGTTTCAAATACAACCTGTTGTATTTGTATAACCAATGCAATCTAATAAATTGAGATATTTATGAAAATAATGAGAGTTTATTTATTATGATTTGAATATTTATAAAAGATGAATATGGTTCATTAATTATGATCAATACTTTATATTAGGAAACAATCAAAACTTCTATAAAATCACATATTAATCAAATGAAATGGACGATTGAGATTGAATTGTATTGGTTCCACAAATGTTATAAGTTGTATAATAACCAACTTCTATATATATATATATATATATATATATATATATAGGGTTTATTTCAAATACAACCTATCGCATTTGTACAACCAATGCAACCCAATAAATTGAAATATTTATGGAAATGATTAGAGTTCATTTATTATGATTTAAATATTTATGGTAGATGAATACGGTTCATTAATTATGATTAATACTTTATATTAGGAAAYAATCAAAACYTCTATAAAATCACATATTAATCAAATGAAATGGACGGTTGAGATTGGGTTGTATTGGTTGCACAAATGACAAAAGTTGTATAATAACCAACTTCTATATATATATATATATATATATATATATATATATAGATATAGAGAGAGAAAGAAATGAAGACAGAGGCAGGAAGGAGGTGGTATTGTTTTTTGGTGCAGAACCATCTCTGAAAACATGGAGGGTAGCGGCTAAAAAATGAGAGAGAGAGAGGTTGCAGAAAATGAAAAGACGAAAACACCCCTACTAAAGGCAACAAGGTTGGCATCTTGGGAATGAAAGAAGAGAGAAGGGAAAGGAGAGTGTGGCCAAAGAAAGAGGAGTAGGGGTAAAAATGGAAAAGGGTAGGGGGGTGGTGGAGGGTATTGGGAATTGAAGGAGATGAGATGACATGATGATGGATGGGGCTGGAGCCTAAATAACACCGAGGACGACGGGACTCTTTGGAGGTGGGTTTAATGAATCATCACTCTCCATTTGTCATCTCTTTGCACAATTACTCACATGCCCTTTGAATTAAAAAAAAATAGTTTTTTTATATAATAATATTTAAACATTAGTTAACCACGTAAATACTAATCCGATGAACGTTAACCGGATATGTGAAGATCTTGATCTTTTGGGAGCAAGTGTTTAGTGAACAAGCGTTAGTTAAATTAATTAAATGACCAAAATCATTATCAAAATAAACCCCTCAACCTGCACCGCCATCTTCGACTTTGGCTTCTGCTTCGGCACCTCCGTGTCCTGTTAATGACGGAGGCTCTTCAGTCCTACTTATCTTCTACACTCTCTCTGGTTTAATGGATCAGTAGTCAAAGATTTAGTTTACGTTTTCTTTTTCTTTGAAATGTCAAATGTACATGGAAATACTTGTAATAATCGTGCAATAAACGAATATAATAAAATAGAAAAATGATGTAAAGAAACCTAACAGATAAACTTAAACATCTATTAAAAGTAAGGGGTTGTTTAACAGTTGTTGAATGGTTTGGTGCAAAATGATTAAGTGGCTAGAATGATTAAAAAACTCTCATGATATAGTGCAAAATGAAATATAATTGTTTGGTAATTGTCTACAATGAAGTTTTAGCGCTTAATGGTTAAGGGAGACGCATGATACAAAATGATTCAGAGGGTTTTAGTATCATTAAGAGACAAACTTTTTTTGTCAAACAAGATTCATCTCTTAATGATTCAGATATAGTCTTATAATGAAACTATTAAAAGGTAAACAAATAACCCCTAAGGGTATCTGATGAATGTACTTTCAAAATTGAAATGATGAAGGTGAAGTTATTTATAAAGAGTGGATGATATTTGTAATTTGGGTGATAATTTACTTGGATAATGTGAGTGCTGTTTTGCTGACCAATTAATTGATTTGCTTTATTAATTGTTGTTTTTGATCATTGGGTTGTGGCACAAATATTCCATTTATTCATTGACTTTTATTTACTTTGATTTAATTGGTTCTTGTAAAATGTGATCACCTAATCACAGGCGTCGCATTGCACCCTCAAAATTGGTGCATACATAATCAACTTTAATTTTATTTATTTATTTATTTAAATCGTAAATAATACTCCTTTCTAGGGATAAGAATGAGACTCGTCTCGTTGAGAAATCTATTATATACTTTGCGATCAGGAATTCTCTAGAAATTGGATAACAGGATCCTTGAAAATTATAAACTAGGGCCGGGTCGGGTATTTTTGGTATACCGAGAACTATTATTGTAGAGTTTTTATAAGATACCTAAAATCTTTGACGTTTTTCTACATGAAATCTGATTCCTACGTTGAACCTCGTATGAAATGTGATTTTGTTAGTTTTTTAATGTATTTTTTTGACTTTATCTATATTATATTATAAAGCATTTGATAAAAACTCTTAAAAACTACTTTTTATACACAAAGTACTGTTTATTAATGTATGTTACTTAAAATTCAAGATTACAAATAGACTGTGCATAAGTACAACTTATTAAAGCTCCATATCTAAATTCACGTAACTAACTGCAGATAAACATAATCAAATACATGACAAATATCTCATTTTAAATATAAAAAATCTAAAAAATTTAAAATATAATTAGGATAATTATTAAGTTCTAAAAGAATATTTTTTTTTGAAAGGCAAAAAAAGGAAGGACAAGGAAGAGAGCTACAACATGGACATCACCCTCACCAAGCCAATCAATATAATAAACAACAGATCCAGCAAGAAGCTAGATACAAGAAGATACAAAAATCCAACAAAACAAGCGAGAACAAACAGACACCTAACAGCCCCAGACAAAAGACCGAGGCAAAACCTACAACAAAGACAGACAAAAGAGACTAAACAAGATAAAGAAAGGAAGACCAACTATCCCAATTAAGATGAAACTTACGATTCCTATTACCCATCCAAAGCTTGGATAAATTTTGAACACAAGGGAATGGGTCTTCACCTTTCTTCTTAATTATCGCACCATCCTCAGCATGAAGAATTTCATTTCGCCACTTCCAAAGTTGCCAAAGTGTCACAGCGCAAACTGATAAGAAAGTCACTCCAACCTTGCGATGAGTTCTTACTTGTTTGATCAACATTTTAAAATCAGACACCAAGGATAGACGCGGAGCTTTAAGATCCCACCAGGCCCAAATTTTCTTCCAAAGAATACTCGCCACCGAACAAGTAAAGAAACAATGGTCCACTCCAAACAGATTGCACTCCAAAGATTGTAACGGAATCCCTCTCTTTGATAGATTGAATCTTACAGGAATGACCTCTTTAAGGAAGCGCCAAGTGAAAATGTTTACCTTCTTCGGAATTAATGGACTCCAAAAACAAGGTTCATTGTTTTCAACATTTGTATCAACCGCCCCCTGAATTAATTTTGACATGTGGTTCATCGAAAAAGTCTCTTTCTTGTCCCAATTCCAAGACCACACATCCTCACCAGAAGTATTGAAAGCCGCTTGAGAGAGTTGCCTTTCTAAGGCTTGAAGATCGTCTAAGCTTCTTCCACTAATTGTTGTTTTCCAATCCCAAGCACCACACCAAGAACCATTAATATAAGTCCATATTTCTTTGAAAAAAGCATTTTTATCCCTTTTCATGGAATAAAGTCTAGGAAATGGATCTTTCAGCTTTGAGCCTTGACCAATGCTCGCATCTTTCCAAAAAAGCGAAATAGAATCTTTAGCGACCTTTTTTTGTAAACGAGTGAATTACATTCTGACCTGCAACTTCCACATTCTTGCAAGTGTTGACAATTGAAACCCAAACACTTTTTCCAACCATAGGCCTATTTGAAAAAAGACCACCATCCTCACCATAAAATTCAGATATGACATCCTTCCATATCGCATTAGAGCTAGACAGAAACCTCCATACCCATTTTGCTAACAAAGCGTCATTTTTAGCTTTTAAACTAACGACACCCAAACCACCTTTTGACTTAGAGTTCAAAATTTTATCCCAAGCAACCCAATGGGTCTTTTTTTCATCCTCCTTATATCCCCAAAAGAATCTTCTCCTTATAGATTCCAAAGTT